AAAGAGGCAGAGGGAGAAAACACCTCTCTCTCTCCAAGTGGAGCACTCATTTTAATCCCTTTTCCTCCATTTCTCCATCCTACTGGGAATTTGGACATGCACATTCATGTACCTGTCATCTTTATCAAACCACTGGGCCCAAGATTTGAACTTCAGTCAGCCCTGTGGGTTCTAACTCCCTTAACCAGTAGGCTTCAGTGCTGGCCCTTCCTTTTCTGTCTTAATATAAACTTCTCTGACTGAAAACTGTGAATATTAATAGAAATTCCCTAATTTTCCTAGCGGTTGAATACGACTTCTGGTTTCTGACATTCATCCATTATTTATATACATCATGCTTGATCACACCAACATAGTCTGCTACTGGGGGAGACAATGCTGGGCCACAGACGTTTTTTGACTAGGTATCTTTTTTTCTTCTTTTTGTTTTTAGAGGTTTTTGCCTTAGAGTGTGTGTGCTTGTCAGAGAGAGAGAGGTTGAGACACTGAGAGGTAAAGTGTGAAATAACCCCCTGGGGGGATGGCCCTGCCACCATCCCTTCTCCTCAGTTCTCCTCTTGGGATCTTGGGCACATATGCACACATGCCCACCCATGTAAATTTCAAGTCCCTGGGTCCAGGACTTCAACCACAGTCAGCCATGTAGGGGGTCAGTGACATAATCGCTACGCCATCTGCTGGCCCCTTGACTAGGTATCTTCGACGGTCACATTAAAATATAACATCAATGATCTAAAATGTAAAATTTTATTTACCACGTGTTTTTCTTTTCATGTTTTGACCTATTTTCTATCTATGCTTTTCACATAAGACTGAAGAATACTGAATTCTTAAATTGGACAATGTTTTATGTCCACCCACAAATTAATATTTTAAAAAGGCAAAAGTGTCAAATTTTTAAATCAGAAGTTAGAAAAGACATGCTTCTTGAACTTTTTAAATTTATTAGAACTCTTGGAAATCCAAAAAAATAATAGACATTTAAAAAATTCTATCCACATCCAAAGTGTCTTATGGCGAGTGAAGAATGGATTCAGGCCAGTTGACCCTTCCATTCCTCTTCCTCTACCATACCACTCTTTCTTTATTAACTAACTTTACAAATGGCAGAATATTAAAAAAAAATTAAAAAGTTAAGGTTGAATAGACTCTTTGAGATTACATAATTCCAATATTTTTAACGATTATGATAAAAGCAGAAGCTCATAATATAACAATCCATGTAAACATCTAGTAGTAATAAAAGGATTATATAGTCAAATTATTTTTCCCTATATATCATTTTTTTACCATATGACACTTATTTCCCACATAAATAAGCACTTTGTAGACTAAAACTAGGACAGAGGCATGTAGATGGCATAATCTTAGGGTCCAAACAACCCATAAACAAATGCTTTCTAAAATACTTTCGCTTAGAATGATCAATCCCTAATGGTATTGATCCAAGTCCAACTTACTGACTTTATCTGTTCAAAGATCAGGCTACTACTCAGCTTTCCCTATGGGGGATTAATTTCCTCATTAATTTTGAGGGAGAATAGAAATTGGACCAAATATCCAAAAAAACTTGATATATACAGAACTAGCTTTGTTCATGAGGACATTGGGACTTTTGAGCTGGAATCAATCAGAAAGCATGTAAGTTATTTTATAAATCTGGAGCTTGGAAATATCCACCTTTGTACATTTGTGTTTAAATTTATTGATGTCTCCTTGAACTGTCATCCATTGGGGTGCTTACTAAATAAGATATGGTAAGTTTTTACATATTTATAATTCAGAGACACATCACTTTTCTTCCTGCTACCTGAGTTGCTTTAACATAACATCTTTATTTCTCCCTTTTGTTTAAAAAAATACTTACTGGCCTTCATTTCAGGTATTTGTTGTGCCAGACCAGAGTAAACACTTTAAGAAAAACTAGAATTCTTCTTAAATCACCTAGGGATAAATTATAGAATAACCTCAGATTTAAGATGGAAGTTCTAAAGCATTTTTTTTTAACCAAAAAGGGGCACTTTACAACATTTTCATCCTTAGCAGGTGCAAGACTTTAATTTGCTTCTTAAACTAGAGATTTAGGCTATCTTCATAGAATATTTGTCCCTAGACATTCTGACTTGAAACTAAACGGTCACAGTCCTGGACACTCCTCAATTCTAATCAGCTAGCTCTGGAAACAAGAGTCATTCGTGTAGATCAGAGATAAAGACCGAATTGTGTTGGTGAAGATACTTTCTTCTCCAATTCGTCTGGGGTGTGTGAGTTACACTCTCGTTTTTATTTGGGAGGCAATATCCCAATGAGGTTGGGGAGCATGTGACAGACAGATCAATCAAAATCCATGCATGATAAGAATAGAAAGATTGAATGCCTGCACTTGGAATTAATTTAAGAGGACTGTCTGGTCTCTTAGAGAACCCTTTCATGTAATGCAGTGTTTGGGGACTCATCTGATTACAGATGCCACAGAGTGAGTGCTGTCTCTGTGTATAAACCGGAACTATGACAATCAAAGGGAAGAGTGGGAGGGGATGGGTCATAACTTGGAACTGTAAATAGCAGCTCTAGGCACAGAATGGAAAACAACATAGGGGATGCTCCTTTCCTAAGCAGACTAGGTACTGCAAATAAATGAACACTAAATTATGGATTCTTGGGGAGGATGTATATAAGATGACACCTTTTTATTCAAATGCAGTCAAAATGGTCAATGAATAAAAAATTTCCAGAAATTAATAAGAACATATATTCTCCAATGTCGAGGGAATATAAGAAATCTATAATCTGTGAATTAGCTGGTAGTAACTGTCAGGGATTCCTTGGAGAAATTAATTTTCTTGATGATACTTTATGGAGGAAAAGCAACTTCGTTTTAAGCACTGGTTACCTACAACAAAGCATGATGTTTGCCAACCACTGGGCTTACTAGTGAAGACAGAATCTTTTTGTGGGTATAGTGATAATAATAATAATAATAATGACAAGATAAGAGAAAGAAAAGAGGGGTAAAAAAAATAAAAAACAAGGAAAAAAAAAAAATGTTATGGTTGTAAAGGCAAAACCAATATCCTAAGCCATAATTGTGCCTCACTAAATATACTGTCAAATTCATTCCTACCCAGGGCAGTTAAGCCAGAGATGGAAGTTTCTGTGGCAGATGTTGCTAACATATTATGGGTAATTTCGTTTACTTGAAATGTATAGAATGTGCTGTCTGACAGAGTTCCCTTGGCCAATGGCAAAGCAAGAAAGAGGAAACAGATTTTTCATTTTAGCATCTCCGGATGTCTGGGTTTGTTCAATGTTTAAGCTGCAAAGAAAAATACTGTAGCACGCTATAATTCCACTAGAAAAGCACAATGACCAAACAGCTGGCTGCAACGTCTGGTCCATGTTATCTATCTCCCCAGTAAAACAAAGCTGCTCCCACTCAAAAGACAAAGGGTGGGTCTGGCCACCTTCGTTCTGAAACAAACCATTTCAAAAGCAATTTGGGTGAAGTTTCCAAAGATCATCATGAGTCTAGTAAACATATCTGACGTAAGGCCAGAAAGCTTCTGTGTGGTTAACCTCCTGCCAATATTTGAAAGAAATGTGAAATTTTTAAAGGTATATATATATTTGGAGGTTTTTGCTATAGGGCGTGTTTGTTCACCCAAATGACAGAGAGACAGAAAGCGAGAAATCACCCTCCCAGGGGGTATGGCCATGCCACAATCCCTTCTCCTCCATTCTCCTCTTGGGATCTCGGGCATGTATACACATGCACCCAGAATGAGTTTAAGCCACTGGGTCTAGGACTCGAACCACGCTTGTCTGTCTACATGGGAGTCCAACGACATAGCCATTATGCCAACTGCTGGTCCTGGTATATTAATATTTTAATATCTTAATTGAAATACAAGACCCCTGGCAAATCAGGGAATCCATGGGCAATCTCTGTCCATCCAGAGCACGTATTGCTGGCGTAAGACCTGTGTGAAGGCCCAAGTATAACTAGAACTAAAGAACTAATATGACTAGAGCTTGCCTGCGGTTGTCAGTATTCCAGGCTAAGAACTCCAGTGACGGTGTGTGGACCAGCAGCAGCAACCAAGGGTTAGCCTCTAGAGTTGAGGCCTTGAAATCTGTTTCGGTAAGCTCTCCAGGTGATTCTGACATGCCCTGCAGTGTGAGAAGTATGCCCTGTGGGCCTTTTATGTCATAATCACATCATATCTTGTTTAAAAAATTCAAAGCAGCCAGGCCTGCATTTCTGATGAGCTGAACTAGAGAAATTATCTGAATAATTCAGGCCTGAGCCTGATGACCTGACATGCTCCCATTTGATCAGTCTGGCTTATGTTGTAACACATTTGAGAATCCTTCCTGTTCTGAATAATACTAACTTGCATTTGAAATCATAGGAATGTAAAAGTTAAGAAAATGATTTAGATAATATGAATTTTTAAAAAATAGGAAAAAAGAAACATCATTTCCTTTTCCCTCTTGTCTTACCTAAGTACCTCAGGTCAAAATACTTATTATGGTCCTTATTATACTATTCTCTTTAGTGATTAAAATATATATATATATA